TTTATGTTGATCACTGTCACGTTTAGTTTACAATAAATAAATAAGATTTTTTGGATCAGTCGTAAAATTTTTACAAAAAAGATTTCTTTTTCTTTTTATTTCTCTAAATTTCTCAATCCTCCTCAAGTAGCGATACTGCGTCGGTTTATTCAAGTAAAAGTGGATTTATTCATGGGGTGAAAACAGGTAGTTTAGACCTAATGATTTGTATTCATAAAATCGTTCTGTATATTTTTTTTCTTTATTCAAAATTTCTTGTCAATAGATCATGTATGAATATTTTAGAAAAGCCGAGAAAATTAATTCGATTAAATAATCTTCATTTTCTAAAAGATCCAATTGACGGGACTAGGCAAGTAGATATTACAGTATTATACAAGCAACTTCAAGATACGTAATTGAAAGAATTGCAGTTTACCTTTGCAGATTGGGTCAAATGTTATCCTTAAATATCATGTGCTACGTGAGTACAAGTGTCAACGACATGATAACGGCAATGTATTTATTGATCATATGTCTGGTTCTGAGCTTGTAAGTCTTGTTTGAGTGCTAATAAACATGTTTGGTGCTTATAACGCTGGTGTTCTACCTCCTAATGATCAATAAGAATCAGTACTAATATTTGTACGAGAATATTCTCCTGTCAGTTTATATTCCTTGATTTATAAAATTAATTATAATCTTGAATTCCTTTATCATTTCTTGGATCATTTTAGCCCAGATAGAACTGGAGTGAAATTGCTCTAGGCATTACAGTATCCCCAAATGTGCATTACTGCATTATGTTCAGAAACCCAGTTCCTCCTTCAAGCGACATAAGCGTAAATTGAATTATTGCATTTGCATATTATTTTAAGTTTTAATAAATTTATTAATATACAGAATTTATCTAGGGCAATTTTGGATCACAAAGTGCCAACTGTGATTACAAGAAACTATATACTTTATGTGTTTGGTATAAAACTCCATAAACCAAGAAATAGAATTGATTCCCAAGGGAGAAGGTTTAGATCAATGACGACAAGACTTTGACCTAAAGAGGAGGATACCAAGAAGTAAAAAAAAATAAACCTTTTATTATCATTCCTTAGTTTTTGTAATTAAATCCTTTTCTAAAAATTTTTATAGTGGGATTTCAGAATCATTCCAAAAAGAACCCGAATCTATCCCGGTCGCTCCACACCCACTACTGGACGGGGCCTTCACAACTTAATAGTTAGCATTCTAGTTAGAGAAGTTTTTTATGACCCACCAAATCCGCCTCCCACTGGATACTCATCTGCAATTCCTACTGGATTAACTATCAATCCTGGTACGATCTGTGACATCGACCTTTATGATATCCAACAAATGTACAGAAAGTTCGATTCATAACAATCAGAAAATTTAATGTTGTGCGTCCAAATTAAAATTTGCATTGTTTACCCTTGAATAAAACTTATCATTATTATACATTCCATCTATGTAAGAATGAGTTCACTGAGTTTATATGCAGTCGACTCTGAATATAACAAACCTCCATATAACGAATTCTGGATATAACGAACTCAAAATTTAAAAATTCCATAGTAGTTCGGTATAGAAAGTACTATGACTTCTTAAGAAAACATAGTAATTTTCTATAACGAACTTTTTTTTTCTTCCAGAACCGTTAGTTCGTTATAGAAAGAGTTGACTGTATTCATTTTATTTAGCTGATAAATATGTATAATAATTCATCAATCAAAGTGTTTGAAATACAATAAGTCGTTCACTTTTAATTCATGTTCCTTATTTAAATAATTTCTCTGACAACGTTGATTCAGTGAAGTGTGAATTGTTACCTTTATTATTGTACAATTAAAAAAATATTTATACGGATAATCTAGTTCAAGTTTGCTTAAATTTATATGAGTGCTGACAAAATAAGTTTATTATTTATTGGGGTCGAGCAAATATACTTTCATTTACGCATTATACATTATGTTTGTTGATTAGCATTTAAGCGCATTACCAGTGTCGATCAAAATTGCGCACAAAAAAATTTTTTTTAAATGTGCGCAATAAAACAAATAGCACAAATAAAATATAATCAAAGCCTAAAACATATGAATTTGAAATTTTTAATGTGCGCTTTGCGCATACATTGTTAATTTTAAACTGCTGAAAATTTTTTTTGATGTCCCCTTCGCACATTAATTTTAGACACTGCTCATTACAATAGATCAATGCAAGAACTCATTGTGTTTGGTAACAATTTATTTATGCATAGTATTCTAAAAGCGAATTGTGTAACATTTAATAATATATAAATTAATTTTTTCTTGCTCCTGCATTCCTGCATTCTTAATTATTTATTACGTTTCTTATAAACGTTTTCTATTTATATATACCATATAAAAAGTTTCATGAGTGAATATAGAATTTTTATACGTGAACTAGTAAATTGTACGTATTGTGCGGCTATTTCATACTTGTTGGATACAAAAGTTCATAAAGTTTAAACATGAAACACATTGAAAAAAAAGATATTGACAATCTAATTAAGGAAACGCATAATAATCAGCCTGAAGTTGTAATAGAGTGGATCCCATATGAGGATTTTACAAATATAGAATACCTTAGAGAAGGTATTTTTAGTGAAATTTATAAGGCCACATGTTCAAAAGGAACAATAAAAAGTTGGGATAGGATAGAAAAAGTTGTTTTATTAAAAGTTGTCAAGGATTCTCAAAATATTAATTCAACATTTTTAAACGAGGTAATAATAGATAAACTTTATCTTGACTATTGATAAATTATTCTAAACATTTGTCTTTTTTTTGCCACAGTTACGAAACATTGTTAAATGCCAGCCTAATTCTGATATGCATCACATTATTCATTGCTATGGAATATCACAAGATCCGATTATATGTTTGTTATGCCATATATGTCTAGTGGAAGTCTATGGGATTATTTATCTGATAATTTTAAGGACATTACTTGGAAAATGAAACTAAGGTTTCTTAAGGATATTGTTATAGGCATCAAATGGATTCATATTATAAAGAAAATTGTACACACTGATATACACAGTGGAAACATATTAATAGGTAATTCGAAAAACTATGGTTTTGATTCTAACCTTGTAATTGCAGATTTAGGGCTTAGTCGACCAGCAAATGATTTAGAAAGTTCAGATAATATATATGGAGTTCTTTCATATGTAGCACCTGAAGTGTTTATAAAAAATTCATATTCATTTAGTTCAGATATTTACAGTTTAGGAATTGTTATGGGGTACTTACAAGTGGACTTAATCCTTTTTATGATCGGGCATATGACTCAAATCTTGCACTTGAAATATGTTTTGAAACACTTCGTCCAAATATCACAAAAGATACACCACGATGTTGGGCTATTTTGATGCAAAAATTTTGGCATTCTGATCCTTTAAAAAGGCCAACAATTAATGAAATATAAGAAGTAAATTCTAGATATTGGGATGTAGACAAAATTTTTCTAGAAGCTGAAGATAGACGACAAGAATTACTTAATTCGGGGGAGTTTCCACCACCTAAACCTTTACTATCAGTGCTTGTAACAAGATCAAATCTTTTTCAAAACATTATCAGTGATTCAATTAATATTATGTAAGTAATTAAGTTTATTGTATTTTTTACAAATTGAGTATTGAGTATTTGAAAGTAATAAATTAGTGATTGCACTAATTCAAATGGATATGCAGTCCTGAGCACCTTAAAAATGATAAAAGCCTAAATTTAACAAATATGTCAACCTCAAAAAAACACTCGGTCGAATTTTCAATAAATAAAAATGATTATAGTAAGTTTAAATTACTGTATGATTGTTCTATCGATCTCAATATATTGTGGACTTATTTACGATACTATATTTTTATAAGATGAAATAAAACGACGAAAATTATCTGATAATGGTATTCTTTTTTTATCTTAAAATTAGTATCTATAATTATTGCATTAACGTTAATATTAATCATACTATTTAACGTTCTTAATCCGCATTTTTGCTTGAATATACTAAAATTATAAATTTATGTACGAATTCACATTAATTCATTAAACAAGAAGTGCCAGATTCTTCTCGAAACATTAGCAATGATTCATTTAATATTATGTAAGTTGTCTTTTTTGTAATATTGAGCATTGAGAATTTGGAAATGATAAAATAATGATTTCTCTATTTAAACGGATACATGGCTTCAACAATTTAAAAACGATAACAGTTCAGATTCAACGATAAACCCATCAACTTCAAAAAAACACACTACCGAATTTTTAATAAATAAAAATGATAGTATGTTTTAATTTAATGTTTGATCATTTTATCGATTTTAACGTATTACCGGGCTTATTTACGGTATTATATTTAGAAGATGAAATAAAACGAAGAAAGTTATCTGAAAATGGTATATTATTTTTTATTCAGCTTGGTATCTATAATTATTGAACTAATATTAATCATACTATTTAACATTCTTAACCTGCATTCTCGCTCGAATATTCTAAAATAACTTTATATACGAATTCATATCATTCAATTAAACAAAAAAATGCTAGATTCACAGCCATATACTTTATCAATAAATGATGCCATTTATAAAATTACCAACTTGAGCAACTTAAATTTAGATCATGATATACTATGTTTTGAAGCAGGAAAAGCTCTTGCTGAGGTTCTCTGTACAATTCCTACTTTAAAATACTTGGATTTGAGTTCAAAAAAACTATGCAATGGGGCAGGACAAGGAATAGCTGAGGCGCTAGGCAATAACAACACATTAACAGATTTAAATTTAAAAAACAACTATCTCGGTGACGAAACAGTAGAGGAGCTAGCCAAAGCTTTGTGTAAAAACACCACTCTTATGTGCTTAAATTTATATAATAACCGATTTGGCAGTAAAGCTGTAAAAACGTTGGGTGATGCTTTATGCAAAAACATTGCCTTAACTACTTAAACTTAGGTTATAATGAACTAGGCGAATTAGGAGGAAAAGCATTGGCTGAAGCTTTATGCAAAAATACCGCCTTAACTAATCTAGATTTAAGATATAATGAACTAGGTGAATCAGGAGGAAAAGTACTGGCTGAAGCTTTACGCAAAAATACCACTTTAACTAATTTAGATTTAAGTTATAATGAACTAGACGAATTAGGAGGAAAAGCACTGGCTGAAGCTTTATGCAAAAATTTCACCTTAACTAACTTAGACTTAAGTTTAAATAATCTTGGGGAATCGGGAGGAAAAGCACTGGCTAAAGCTTTATGCAACAATACCGCCTTAACTAATTTAACTTTGATTCATAATGAACTAGGCGAATCAGGAGGAAAAGCACTGGCTGAAGCTTTATGCAAAAATACCACCTTAATTTAGTCTGCAATAAGATAGGCGAATCAGGAGGAAAGGCACTGGCTGAAGCGTTATGCAAAAATACCACCTTAACTAATCTAAATTTAGGTTACAATGAACTAGGTGAATTAGGAGGAAAAACACTGGCTAAAGCTTTATGCAAAAATATCA